GTCTCTCTCTCTCTCTCTCTCTCTCTCTCTCTCTCTCTCTCTCTCGCTTTAAAAAAAAAAGATCACGTTTGGCCTGGCTCTAGGCCTGGGTATTCCATGGTGGTTAGCGACAATACGGAGGTGGTGACTCTGGAGGATGGCACCCAGGCTACCAAAGCTCCACGACTAGTGACTCAAGAACTCAGTAAAATACGTACAGTGCCTATTCATAAATTCCGGCTTGTTGTGTACGTCGCTATATGTACTGCTGCAAATTCACAATACCAGCTTTGTATTCCTGTGGTCTTAGTAGCATTTTTATTTTTGGCCGGATTTTTTTTATTCGCCCGCGCGCACTAGTTTGTGGGTCTTCAGAGGATATCATCCATACAATTAATTTGGTGTGGCCTTACTTGCTCTTTCCAGGTTACCCATGATGCACTGTACCGAGTGGCCGGCGTCATCACCCAGGGCGCGTACAACCTGGACCACTGGGTGACGTCATACAAACTAGAGTTCAGTCCGGACTGCCAAAAAAGGACACCGTACACAAACAGTGATGACGAAATGATTGTGAGTTCAATTTACCACAAAAATATCACTTCGGTATGGCTTAATTATGATTCTGGCGAGACCAGATTTCAGGCTATTTTTAGACATACATGTTACTTAAAACAGCCTCCAGTTTAATACCAGACTTTCAGTTTGATTCCGGACTAATTCCCATATCTCAGCAACCTTATATCTAGATGGGCTAATATTGTAAAGTATAGGTAAAAATGATGTTAGAAATATGTATGCGTAGTAGCCACCGAGGACACAATTCTGCAGAATTCTGCACAGACATGGGAATTAGTCCGGAATTAAACTGGAAGTCCAGAATTAAACTGGAGGCTGTTTTAAATGTGCTTTCTCGTTTCAGGTTTTCGAAGGTAACACGGACAACCAACGCTATGTGCGTAACCTCCTGGACAACCCAGTTTTTGCACGTTGCACTCGCTTCCACCCGATAGCCTACCACAACCAAGTCGCCCTTCGAGTCCAGGTTCTAGTCATGCAAGGTAAGAAAGTTTTGGCTGATAGTGTTCAGCACCAAGGACAGGTGAGTTTGCCTGCGTGTGGATGGTGTTCAGCACCAAGGACAGGTGTGTTTAACGGTGTATGGATGGTGTTCAGCACCAAGGACAGGTGAGTTTGTCTGTGTGTGGATGATGCTCAGCACCAAGGACAGGCATGCTTACCTGCGTGTGGAGGGTGTTCAGCACCAAGATCAGGTGTGTTTACTTGTGCGTGGATGGTGGTCAGCACCAAGGACAGGTGTGTGTGTGGATGGTGCACAGCACCAAGGACAGGTGTGTGTGAATGGTGTTCAGCACCAAGGACAGGCATGTTTACCTGTATGTGGATAGGGTATATATAGATATATTAGATTGATGACACTTGGTGTTTGTTCCCAACATCTAGGGTGTGCGGATCATGCAGTGCTGTGTGCAGGGAGATGCCAACCCAAGGGGCGACTCTGTTCCTTACTTGGAAGATGTGTGCCGAGCAAGTACCAGCACGGCAACAAGTAAATTCATCTTTTCGCTTTATCATTTTGATAGATTATCAGAATATATGATATCATGACAAAATGTGCTGGAGGATGTTATTATAGCTCCATCTCTGTAAGGATAATATGTGATGATTGTAATGGTGATGATGAAAGCATCTTTGTGGCCTACAAAATGCATTCTCCATTGCCGTATTGTTTCAGCAATCGGCGGCATATTCTTGTATAGATCACGGTTTGAAATTCTTTGTTTCCATGAGATGTTTACGACATTTGCCATCATTCTAGTGTATGAGCCATTTTAACCTTCTTTCCAGTGTTTTTTGTAAGTGACCAACACTCGAAACAATAGAGAAGGATCGTTTCTATATTGCTACTCTAAAATAATTTTTGTAGCTGGACTTAAATTAGTTCCTTTTTAGAAGGACTAAAACTCATAGGCGTATATCTTTCATAGGCCTGTCTGTGAGGAAATACTAGAAGCAGAGTGCGGGGTGGTATCGAATGTCAAATTTGATGAGCTCGGATGTTATGGTAAGTTCATCAATCTTTCATGACTAATTAATGGCACTGCCACTAAAGAGAAGCGAGGTCGACTTCTAAATAGAAGTGAGTTAGGATTCTAAATAGGAGTACATGTAGGTTGGAATTGTAAATAGAAGTGAGTGAAAATTGTATATAGAAGTGGGTTGGAATTTTCATTTGTGCCAACATATTAATGACATGGTGGATTGACATGGAGCATTTATTTCTGTAAATAAAACTAATGTTAAACATTGTTGTCTCGTCTTTGCGATGAAGAAATCGACAGTCAGTTCAACGAATGTAGGTATACCCTCGAAGACTTCGAATCCGGACTGGTGGACCCGGTAGGCGGCTTTGAATCCGGACCTCTGGCTCCATCCAACATCCAAGCAGGACCCGGTCTTTCCGGCGGCTTCGAACAAGTGCCCGGTCTTTCCGGCGGCTTCGAACAAGTGCCCGGTCTTTCCGGCGGCATCGAACAAGTGCCCGGTCTTTCCGGCGGCATCGAACAAGTGCCCGGTCTTTCCGGCGGCTTCGAACAAGTACCCGTTCCTTCCGGCGGCATCGAGCAAGTACCCGTTCCTTCCGGCGGCATCGAGCAAGTACCCGTAATTAGGAGAAAGAGAGCGTTGGAAAAGTTCCACGACACCCAAGCTTGTGACGGCATAATTGACTGCTCAACGGGAAAAGACGAGGACAACTGCGAGAAAATGGGTAAGTCGAACAGCTTCACTTTCCTTGTGCCCTTTAGACAAAAACTAGCTGTCCTTACATATTCACAGACATCTTCAATTGGCACAGATCTAAAACTACAAGAAAAGCCTTTATATCATGTTTACCGAAGGAAAACATATTGTTTTTGCTCTGTTTCCTCTCCTTCTCCAAACCAATGAGGCCAATGACCGTCTGTCACCATGGTAACTAGTGTTGGGTTACATCATGTTGCAATTTTATAGCAGGAGTGATTCAGACTCCTGTCTGACCATATATAAGAATGTGTCAATTTGAGTTGAGTACTACTAAGAATTTACAGAGCAGACCATATGCGAAGGTAAATATTATGTATTTGCTTTGCAATTGTTACCTTTCTAGTTCATTAATGCATTGATTTTTCTTGGCGGCAGAATGTGTGCTGCAGTGTGAGACGGAGTCAGGTGATCCGTGCATCCCCGCTAGATGGATCTGTGACGACACTGAAGACTGTCTGGGAGGCGAGGACGAACAGGGGTGCAACGACGCGCAAGGTAAGTCCTGTCACACAATCACGTGCAGTATTTTATCACTGAAGAGCGCAGCTTACCGTGGGAGAGGACGAACTGCTGGGTTCTGCAGTGGACGCAGTAGTAAAGCTTGCAGGGCCGCACTGGAATCAGCCCCAGCCTCGCTTTCGCGCAGATCTCGCGAAATCGCGTTAGACCGTACTCTCGCGTGAGCACTTTTTCAAAATGGCTGCGGGAACTGAAAATTGGCCCTTTTGGCCTCCCGAACGTAGGGGAACACCCGCCGACCATGGTGGCTAAGAGTGGGCCGGCGCAAAGTCGGCTGGCTATCGGCGAATTCGACTACGGTTCGGCTGCGCCAGCCGAATTAATGTTTCAAAATGTTTAAAACATTCGTGAGACATTCGGGAGGTTTGATAATAGTTTGCATTATGTTCATTGTATACAATGCAAATCCTATAACTACGCATTATGAACAATGCTAAGAATGCACAATGATGACACAACAATTTTCTTTGTCTCACAGCATCCAGGGGTTGTTTTTTCAAGTGCACGCCCAATGGATTCTCTCTCTTCAGTGAGATTTGCGTCCCCCCACACGAGCTAGGAGATGGGTATGAGAGTTGCGAGTTGGGAAAAGACGAAGATCCTAGACAGGGTAAGTGGTAGCTTGGAAGTCGGACCATCGTAGGCTCCCCGGTATCTCTACGGCGCTGGGAGTGCTGCCCGTCCGCACAGACCCATTAACACACGCCTGGTTGTTTATGGGGTTGGTTTCAATTAGCTCGCCTTCAGAAAAGCCTGGATGCCAGACCCATAACACGCTAAGCCCAGTGTTAGCCAGCATCGTATCCTTGGGGCATGTTGCCCTGAAGTCGAGGAACTGTCCTGTGTAGGCCCTGGAAAAAACAAACACCCAGGCTACCTACAGAATGGCAACAATTAGCTATAGACCAGCTGAAAAGACATATCAGACAAGGAGAAGTCGTAGACATCGTCCCTCCATGAAATAGCTTGTTATTTTGTAATCTTTTGGTGTATTTTAATAGAGATATTATGAGTCAAACTTTGTTTTTATCAGCAGAATGATAGATGTCTATAGATGTCTATCCTTTAAGAATTTTGTTGTGGCACTTCGTATTGGAAGGGGTTGCCCAAGCTGTCATGTGCAGGTGTTTAGTGTCTTGTTACCATGGTTTGTTTGAGGTCAATGACCTCTCAAGCACAACATATTAACAAACCACAGATGACCCAGTTCCCTGCTGAATGACCGATTAAAGATAAGATATATTTCCTGCAGACATGGTCTTGAGGTAAAAATAGATTGGCCTGACCTGCCAGCTGGAGGTATAAACAAAAACACTCTGTACCAATTTGGGGTCAAACAGACCATCCTATTATGAAATAGGGGTGAAAATGTGGAAATCCTTTTAAATAAGCAATGCAAATCTACGACAACCTGCTAATGCACGCTAAAACGCAAAGACAATCAGCGTCTACCCACATAGCAAAAATGATCGCCAACCATCCACCGGGTTCTGAGATCATTCAACGCAAACAATCTGACATTGAGATAGCAATTCCGGTTCAAAGCAAACAGCTAGGGGGCCCAAATTTACATCACTAAACCATTGTAACCACAACTACATGCTACCTTAGCATCGCACACACGGACCATAACGTGCCAACAATAGAATAAAAAAATTAAACTGCAGTACCAAGGTCAATCACCAGGTGCTCAAAGTCAACCTACACAATCTCCAAGGCCCCATCCATCAATCTGCCAAATATCATACAGTTCCTTCTCACCGATCTTCAGATATCAGACCAAACATGAAACGGAGTAAAAACAATACCCCCCATTTACATGGAGGGTAAAAAGGTCTATGCATATGGGAAAGATACTTTACACGACTTCCCTACCTAGTACTTGTACGGTGGAGTGACGCCCACCGGGCCTCTTAGGCTAATCTGTGTTAACTGTGTGCAAAAAAAAAAAAAACACTGCGAATTTGGTGCACCAATGTGTCAACATCAGCATATTTGCCACCCAGAGCCGTAAAATTGTTTTTCTCTCTTGACAGCCGGATGAAATTACTCACGGATATTTTTGATACAGTTGAACTGGCGCTGGAGAAATGGTTCGGCTCCTGTAGCTACGTCTGTGCGTCTGTGTACGGCAATGCGTCGTGCGTTCCCGACGTCTTCGTCTGTGACGGCCTAACCGACTGTCTGGACGGAGAGGATGAGCAAAGCTGTGAGTCTTTTAAAACGTCCTGCTGTATTATTTGTACATTTTTCTCCATGTGTTTGTCTTATGCTGGATCTGTATCTGCACAGCCGGTATAACCGCCTCTCGCTCGGCGTAACACACCAGCTTTGCAGTCACGCGGCGCGGCGGCAGCTGGCTATATTACACAAATCAACTTGTTACACCTAGCCTTTGAACATCTAACTCTAAACATTCAACCACCGTTCTTTTTTATTCGACTTTTTGCACAGATTTGAAACAGACTTGCCTTACCCTTTTTCCTGCGGTGTGGAGGAAAAAAGGTGTGCAGGAAAAAAAGCTAGGAGGCCTTTACCTTTTTTCTAATTTTGGCTCTTACTGTTTCAACTATCGGTTATTTATGTTTAATTTGGCTTCTCACAGGTTCGGAAGAGACATGCCTGACGCTCTTCTGTGACCTGCCCGGCGTCCCTGTCCCCGTGTGTGTGCCGGATAACCTGATCTGTGACGGCCACGCTGACTGCCGGTCTGCGGAGGATGAAAAGGTGCCCCGGTGTCGCCCCGACAGCTTGCTCGATCCCTTCGTTGATCGGCCACTTGCTGGCAAGCCGGAGCGTGAAGGACCCATCGCCGGCCTGGAGCCAGAGGAAGGGCCGAGGCTCGGTCAAGAGGAAGGGCCAAGGGTCCACCCAGAGGAAGGGCCGAGGTCCGGTCAAGAGGAAGGGCCGAGGTTCCGCCAAGAGGAAGGGCCGAGGTTCCGCCAGGAGGAAGGGCCGAGGGTCGGTCAAGACGGAACAGCAGAGCCGAGCGGTGGATCGCCTGAAAAACAGTCAGGTACTAAAATATCTTCTTCTTCTTTCTCATAATTAACTGAGGTGAAGCCAGATGCTTTTTTTAAGTAGCTACTAGTGCAATGCGGCGTAATTACAAATATTCTGTTTGTAATTACAGAGTTCTATGCAGGGAATGGTGGGACCGGCGACCGAGCCGCATTTTGGCTGACAGCTGCAGGTCTGGGCCTTCAAATCATCTATCTTTACTAAAGGCATCCTTATTTGCACCTGACAACCTTGGATTTATGCTATGCAAAAGTATGATTTTAAAGACGACAAAACACGCAAAACGTACAGAATTCAGTTCTTGTATATGAAATTTTGATCAGTCAGGGTGAGGTCACATTGTTGGACGATTTCATTTGCTAGAAGGACATAATTATGACTTGACTTATTAATAAGACTCACATGTATGAGTTGCATGTATAGTGGTACATTTTGTCATGCTGTGCCGCTGCTTTGGAGGACGTTGAAACGAGAAGCCATATTGTAAAGCATTGTATAAGACCGAGTATAGTACTCCAGGTTTAAAGTTACGGACGAATGAATTGAGAGTTTGAGATAATTTATTACAACATATTCAATGTTAGATATATATACATTTAACCATATGTATCATGCATCCATGCCATTTATCAGCATTATTGATTATTGGCAATCGTTATGTTTACCGAAGGAAAACATATTGTTTTTCATACATTTTCTCTTCTTCTTCTGTTCCAAACACTGACCTCTGACCTGGCCAATGATCTGATTTGTTAAAGTCTGTCATAATGGTAACTGGCAAAACACTATGCAAAACACAGGGGAGCGGTCCCATGGTTGGGGTAACATCGAGTAACTTTTCTCAGATTTGGCTAAAACATTACTTTTTTTTCAGACAGTGTAGTTAGTCTGGCGAAGACTAGTACTACAATATTCAGGGAATGTCACGCATGTTGTATAAAGAACGACTATGAATCTAATAAAGTATTATGTGGATATTTGTGTTGCGTTTAGTCATTTGTTTATTGCCAGTTAGATGATCAAAGTATGTCCTTGTGTGAAAATGTGCTCAGGTGACTAAACATGCACAGTGTTTGTCTAGGGGACTATTTTTTATGACGTAGTATTAATGAAAAAAATAAGCAAATTATGAATTAGTGCACACGCTCTTGAAATAGAGAGAGGGCGGTATAAGAATTACTAGTCTCGATTGTATGAGCGAATTTGCAAATACTGCACGTTGAAAATTGTGGAAAACGAAATATATTTTACCTCAAATTGTACTCTATGTATAGCAATGAATGAAGTGAAATCTTTGACACAGCCTCTGTCTACCCTACTCTCAAAATACAGATGAAAACTACTCTTCTCTTAACATCCGAAAGTCCACACATTTCGAAAAATATAGTGGGATCTTTTGTCTTCCCAGAAGTCAAACCCAGTAGATTTATATTAGGAGTTACGGTAGTTTTTCTTTCTTGGGTCTAGTTATATATTACTTGTACATGTTCCTTTTGTATTTGCAATTAGCCCTTGGGCATGTGTCCCTTTTCAGAATGTTATGGACACATGATCAAACAAACAAACAAACAAACAAACAAACATAAACCTGATACAAGTTTATTGTTAATATGTTGACATTTTGACAAAATATGTTAAAAACGAGCCGTTTTAGAACGCTGAAAATAGGAAAGTAAAAAAAAGTGAAATGGCTAAAACATCTTCTACCTTTAGAGAATTCAAGTCATTTATAACGTTAGCTTATCATATTACAATGTTTTCTCATGTCTTTTTACCTATAGGTTTAAAATCATCTTTATTACAATGTATATACAAGATGAAAGGTTGCTTAGGTAAAGCCTAGGTCAGCCCTTTATCTTTTGCTACAAGAGGAGGGCACAAGGCAAATAAGACAAATAGTTGTTTTTATTATTAATTATTATTATTATTATTATTATTATTATTATTATTTTATTATTAAAGTACTATTTACACACGTGTAATTATCCACTTACAGTTAGCCTCCGAGCATGGATTTGAAATAAATTCTTATCATTACTATCATATCATTGTCATACCGTATCGTAAAAAGATATTAAATATCAACTAGTTTTGGTTTTTGGGTAGTGTTCAACCTTACATCCTTAATTTTAACATGCTAGGCTTGCTTGCATTCTCAAAGGGATCTCGAATAGATATTATATACTGCTTACAGTTTTAAGTATTGTTTGACAAATCGAAAAGAAATGATGTCATCCATAAAATTAAGTCGTTGTGGCATTATGCTTGTCGTAAAAGATTTCTTTCACAGGATCTCGCTGTAGTAACAACATTCTAGGCCTGCTTGCCTTCCTACTCACACAGAATTATACTATATCAGGTTTGTCCTTCACAAAACTTATTTGGTTACACATTAGATATTCATAGGCTTCCTATCATCTGATATATGGAGAAAGGCATTCCTGCTTTCATTGTTAATGTTATCACTAACGCTATTATATGGCCAGGTGCAGCAGACCATATGTCACTAAGATGTTAAGTTAGAAGCTTTTACACAAGTTAGTAAAAAAGATTATTATATGTAGAGGACTTGCTTTGGTTTCACGTTAATGTTGGGGATAAACATTTTTCCTTCCAATTTTGCCACTTCTCCGATGTACTATGTGCGTGTGTGTGTGTGCACATGTGTGTGTGCGTGTGTATTGTGTGTGTGTGTGCACACATGTGTGTGTGCGTGTGTATTGTGCGTGTGCGCACATGTGTGTGTGCGTGTGTATTGTGTGTGTGTGTGCGCACATGTGTGTGTGCGTGTGTATTGTGCGTGTGCGCACATGTGTGTGTGCGTATTGTGTGTGTGTGTGTGCACACATGTGTGTGCGCGTGTGTATTGTGTGTGTGTGTGCACACATGTGTGTGTGCGTGTGTATTGTGTGTGTGTGCACACATGTGTGTGTGCGTGTGTATTGTGCGTGTGCGCACATGTGTGTGTGCGTGTGTATTGTGTGTGTGTGCGCACATGTGTGTGTGCGTGTGTATTGTGCGTGTGCGCACATGTGTGTGTGCGTGTGTATTGTGTGTGTGTGTGCACACGTGTGTGCGCGTGTGTATTGTGTGTGTGCACACATGTGTGTGTGCGTGTGTATTGTGTGTGTGTGTGCACACATGTGTGTGTGCGTGTGTATTGTGCGTGTGCGCACATGTGTGTGTGCGTGTGTATTGTGTGTGTGTGCCTCCACAGCTGTCCAGTGCTTTGTAAGGGTAAGGGGGATAGATTTATATTTTCTAAAGGAACAAAATCTTTCAAAACTTCATAGAGTTAGGCCTAGTCTAGATTTGGGTACCTGTGCCTGTTTCGCCATTTGAGGCATTGATTAGGTTTAGCATTTTGCACTTTCAAGAGATTTCCTTCAATTCAACATTTTCATCATCATCATCATGCCTCCGGATTATCTATCCCTCATAGCGGACACTAATGCAGTCCCTGCGAGACCAGCGTCTCTCTCTAACAATGACAAAAGTGTAGTATAAGGCCGTCCCACTCTACGTCTCCCAGTGGGAAGCCACTGTATTAGTCTACCAACTGGTTCGTTACTACGAACAACATGCCCTGCCAGGGCAAGTCTACGTCGTCGCACTACAGACAAAATGGGTGGGAGAGAGCCATAGAGTTGTTTGTTAGATGTTGTCTCCATGAAACATTTTATGCAGCCACTAGCTAATCAGTCGCATTCCTCGATGACATCCATGCGGCTGTCTTTAGTGTTGTTCTTGTCAACACGGCCCAATTCCTTCATGGGTATGTCTGTAGCAGGGTTAGTTCCATGTGCCGTCGCTCTAGTACCACGGACGGTAGGACGGGCGTTACCACGGGCGGTACCACGGCCGGTACCACTAACCGAGCTCTGTTGGGTACCGGCGGCAGAGGCGGTTTGCCGGCCGGCGCCCTGGCGAGCTTCCCCCGGCCGGAAGCGCTCTCTGATCCGCGACATCCACTTCACCATCACGTCAGACGTCATGGTGAGCAGCAGCGTCAGCAGCAGGCCCTGAGAGGCGTTCAGCACGATGAAGATGTACTCCAGAGGCCTGCTGCGGACATACGGCACGATAAAGCCGATGATCCAGGTGAACCCTGTCAGAAAGGAGATACGCAGGTACACCCAAGCCTTGCTGCTATCCGAGCGGACAAGCGCAGCATCAGCTATCTTGAAAGACTTCCGTATGGCCAGTAAAGTGTGGATGATGAGCACAAGGTTGGCCAGAAGAGCGCACATGACTGGGACCCCGAAAACGACCAAGCTGCCTGTGGGGTTCCCGATCCAGCACGCCTGCTGCCCGTACCCCACCCTGATACTACTGCAGGGGCAGAACTCCACAAACACCGTCAGAACCAAGAACAGGACCGGCATCAGCCACGTGTACAGCATGTAGGAACGCAGCGCTGCTCTCTCAGACTCCTGGCGAAACGTCAGGAAGAGATCCAAAGACAGCGCGTTCATAGAAGAGAAAGCGGTGAGAAGAAGGTAGTGAAGGAGGATAGCGTAGCCTGTACAAGCTGGACCTGTGGGGACAAGCACTCGCCCTACAAACAGGGATTCAGCAGCCGTCATGCACAGAATCATCTGAACCTTTAGCTTCCCCGACATTTTCTTCCACTGGTCAGGCCGGGTGCTGTAGAAAACGAACGCAATCACCGCCACTACTGACACTACCACCAGGCCTAGTGTTAAGTACCCCTGGTCGGCTTCCCAAGGGTTAGTTGTTTCACCTCCTCGCGTGTCGTTGGAGAAGTATTGCAGGACGCACTCCCCGCAGACTAGCGCTGTTGCGTTCTGAATGGCCACCTGCTCGGCCGGGCATGTTACATTCGCGCTCAAGAGGTGGACACTACCGTTGGGTAGAACTTCGAACTCTTCAGCTGTGAAAGTCACAGCCGCCGCGCTGCAGTTTTGTAACGGGGCACTTCCGTTTGCTGATCCCTGGCTCGTTTGATCGACCTTCAGAAGCCTGCACGTGTCTACAAATGGGTCGTATACGCTGTTCAGGGGGCAATGCGTAACGCTGCTTTCCTCCTCATCACCGAAATTGAAGAGATTGGTCAGTGAAATACACTTTGGGAAGCAGTTATGTACGTCCCCGCCATAACGTACACAAGGTTCTAAGTTTGCACTGGCGGCCAGTGAAACCCCTTCGCAAAGCGCACAGTGTATGTTATTGTATTTCTTATACCTACTCCTCACCACAAGCCTATAGGACATACAGGCAGATTCTTCGCAGTTAACACTGGAAGGATCAGCTTCATGATAAAAACATTGTCGACCATACTGCCTCACGAATTCTAACCTACCGGTCCCAGGACAATCCGTGCCATTACCAACTATAGTGTGGTAGACTTGTGTATTTTGCGAGGTATCAGTATGTGTAGATGAATTTATCAGGCCAGTACACTCAACTGAAGAGTCCCAGGCTACTACCTCTGCCAAAGATACATTGTTGCAGAAAGCACAGAATATGTTTCTATAGGAGACATCCGTTGATGCCTTGTGAACAGGCATTCGGTAAGCCAGTTCGCTTGGGTTGAAGGAATCCACTTCCTTCAGACACTGTTGCCTTGTGACGTCATCTGTCCAGTCGTCAGGACAGTCGGCGACCAACCAATAGGAGGTCCCCTTGTAAAAGCCAGGCACACACTTCCACTTTTCGTCCCGGTGATTGGTTGTTGACTGAGCCGTGTCGCTGCACGTTTCACTATGGGGGATTTCCAAGTTAAAAGGTAGGTTAAATCCTTCTCACATCTTTTGATATACGTGCTGACCTTCCATGCTCTTTCTTAAGTGCTAAAGCTACATTATGGAGCAACAAGCCTTTCTACGAGAACATGTCCCTTCTTACCCAGTTTCAAAAAGCTTTTAAAAAGAGAAATACTACTTCAACCAACCACCATTTCCTGTGTTTGTTTGGTTTGCTTGTTTTGTTGTTTTGTTGATTAGACTTTCACATATAATTTACATTTGTACTTATGTTCGTAATAACTAGATAAATAAGTTTGATCTTCTTTATTTCTTCAGATGGATGATTTGTATTGTTTCATTAGTTCGTTGAATTGTTTCTGTTTATTTCCTGTTATTTTTGTCTTCTTCGTTTAAATTTTGTTTCATTCAGTATCAATGGTAACTTTTAATCTTATGGTGTTGGGAACTTCCGAAGGGCAATATATAAACCTGCATGTTTCTGGCCCTCCCATGCATGTCAACATATATCTTCAATTTCATTTTATCTTGTGAGTGCAAAACTAACAATAAACAAACAAATAAACAAAAGCAGTTTTTTTTGGGTCTTAAGTATAACCCATATTGAAAGATATACTCACTCAAAGTCTGGGCAGCAGTCACCAAACATGCGGCAGTTCTTGTCACAGTTGCACTTCACGACGTCCAGGCTACGCTGTCCACATAGTCCCTTACACGAGGTACGCAATGGCTGCCAACATCGTTCCTCATTGACGCTAACATAGGTCGGATCTATGAAAAATGTATAAGAGCTAACGAACAATTTATTTATTTATCTATTTAATACGATTGACCACATACATAATATACATGGAGGTCATGGTGGAACAAGTGCACCTTTTCAAGGCCACCATGCCCACAATGATTGTTTATGTGTTTGTTTATTTGTTTGTTTGGCTCCAATTTGACTCAAATTTGTCTAGAGTCATATTAAAAGGGTAGACGTGACCTAAATCTGGTAAGAGTGCTCCCGAACACAAGCCGACTTGAAAAGGGCATGGACTAGGTGACTGCGAACTCAAGTTAGCTACAACTTATATTCTCGCAGCCACTTTTACAGTGGGAAAAAAGGCGTTTACAAGACGTCTGAAAAACTATGGATAGCATGAGTCAAACCTCCCATCCCAGAAGAGAAGCAAAGCATAGCAGGACACATACAACTAGAAGCGTTTTGTTTCAGTGATGTAGTTTTGCGTAACATAATTTCACAGTTAATGTCATTCGAACAAACCAAACTGCCGCGAAGAACTAAAAGTTGATCAGCATTGTACATGTAAGAATGTCACGCTTGCCCCACCTGCACATTCCATGACGTCACAGTAGCTCCACCTATACACGACGTCTGTGGTGTAGCACCAGGGCCGGTCCTTGTTGTCAGGGTTACGGCAGAAGTTTTCCTCCAGCCCCGCATCAGGATGAGCCTGCGGTGTGTGGGGATGGCTTTGGGGGGACTGGGAGTCCCATCTCTGACACACCTTCTCTCCTGCCCTGTGGGACGAAACACAGCATGACCAAACAAGAAATTAATAGGAAATTCTAGACCTCCAGGAAGTATTTGGAATTTTTGGCGACGTCTCAGGGAGAAGCCTAATGGCACAGTATTGTGTACAGTTTGCAAGAATTCTAGGAATGGTACAGGCATTTTGTTCACAGAAATGGAATGTCCACAGGCATGTCTCTGACCAACATCTATGCCCACATTCCTGGAAACCCTTGGGAAGCCCTCTCTGCCACGGATGGCCCTACTTTCTGTGACCCCGGGGCTCGTTCACTATACACTCAGGGGAGGAGTGCACTGTATCTGTCTAGACTTAACAGGTATCAAGTCTTCCTCAAAATCATGAAATGATGGCTGTGCCATGCAAACAATAACCCTAACAGCAACCACTGTCGCCATGGCAATGTATGTTTTCATTGCCAGTCTTGTTGTGCGTATGTCGACATCGTTACAGCCGAGAAGATTACATGGTGTACTTGAATTGAACAGAAACTGTGCATAGTTCAAACCCGCTCATACAATCCTGATGAATTCCCCATGTTAGCTTCCAGATTCTGAGACCTTCACCTCGTTTCCCGTGTCTGACCTTTTTACCCATTTTCTGTCAATCCTCCCTACCCACGTACTGTCAGCCAGCTCTGTGACAAACCCACAGCTCAACCCAAACAATGATGTCTTTGATGGTGGACCTTGCTGTCACTGAGATGTATACGATTCATATAGGAGAAACATCATAGTACTAGAACAGAAAATGCCACGAAACTGCTTTCCTTACCTGTTGATGCGCCCCGCATAGCTCCTACCATTGTCACTTCGATAGAAACAACGAGTCGGTTTGGCTGAAAAAGAAAACACAAGGAGCAGGTAAGCGGTTTATGCTGTAGAATAGATAATAACTATAACTGTCCAAAAGATATATATATATATATATATAATAACTCGTACAAAGATATATATATATATATATATATATATATATATATATATATATA